AGTGGAAAAGGAATGGTCAGTAGTAGACACACTTAAGTAGGGCTGCACGACGGCTTCGTTGAGCTCAGAATATGGTGAGTTTCTCGGTGCCTGTAAAAATGCACGTACCGGGAATCGAACCAGGGACCTTCCGATTGTTAACCACATGTTGCATCCTTCATAGCAGCCTTGTCTCTCTTGTCGTTAGCCTTATCCATAAAGAACATGAGGCATCCCCATTCCTCTTCAATACGTCCAAGAGTCTCTCGCCTATACCTGCGTCGACGACGACCAACTGCATGACATTCACCGCCACCTTCTAAGGGCTCAGGATAGCGCGGCCGAAAGGTCTATGGTTCGATCCCCAGCAGGGTCATTTCTACTCGATGTTAATGCTGATGCCCGATTTTGCTTTTGCTGGTCACCATAAGTCGTCGCGTTGGTAGAACTAGTTCGCAATCATGCAGTAGGTGAAATCCAAGACATCGTGGCCCTCAACAGTCGGAGGAAGAGGAGTAGATTCTCAAGTTCGCTCGAATGTGCCCGAGACGCCAACGACGATGACCACGACGACGATCACGAAGATGCTTAGTGATGAGAGTGAATGGTCTTAGACGACTAGTCTGGGGAAATAACAGATCATCATCATCAACACTACTATATACCTATTATTCTACTATAGTTGATCACCCAAGTTCAAATCTCACACCCTGCATTTTTACCCAGTAATATATCCGACACATTCCCTGGGGACATCCACAATAGTGCAGTCGTCCCTTCCTGTAGCATCGACACATACTGGTCCCTTCAACTGGGCGAACAGCCAATCGATGTACTCCTTGGCCTTCTGCCGCTGGACCAAAGTGCCATAAATATGAACATAGTTACCAACATATTCCACCACCGCTCCGCTAGAAGCCGCGATCTTCTTACGAGTACCACCCTTCTTACCCAAAGCATACGAAATCTCATCGTCCTAAGTGGGTGAAAAAATCCGAAATCGGAATCATTACATACACGATACTACTAGTACGAGTATCTAGTTTCAGTTTTGTTGTATATTACACATCTCCCAGGTTCGATCCCCAGCACCGACACTTTTTCTGGAATTTATTGCCTCCCTCTACTTTTCTCAGAACACACATGTCCAAATACAATCCCCCCTTCCTCTACAATAGTAAGCACTCACTAAGAAGCCCATAATCCCTATACGCCGTATAAAGACATTTTCCAAACCATAACAGACCTAGTGTCACCTCTAGCCTCATAACATCCATCCCTTCCCCTTCATCGTGGCACTCAGTGAGCTCGATATCGTTAGTGAAATGACCAGGGATCTTAGTTTCAACCGCTGACATCACCTGATACCATAACATTCTACTCTCACCACTGGATCGCCTTGCTACCTTCAACATTGCACCTTGTCGCGATCTCTTCGCACCGAATATCGCCAGGGTTTCAAATTCCCTCTGTGAAAGCACTCCCAAGAGACCCAGGATG